ACTGTAACCTATAGGGGGCAAAAAAGTTGGACAATGTGAGAAAGATACTTTATAAATTTGAAAATTGTCATCTTTGCACCTCAGGCAAAAAAACACAAAAAAGTTCAACTCTGAGCCAATCCAGTACCACCTACCACCATTTTTAAATGCACTGTAAACATTCACAAAACAGTGAATAACAGTAAAAACTCTGAAAATGAATAGAAACAGATAAAAACCTAACAATTGGACCGTCAATAAAGTCAAGGCTTCCTGGAGTGGTTGCAGCGCTAAGGGTACGACTCAGTTTTGACTCTTAGAAAGTATGTCTCGTCAGCTAGCTACATTGGGTGCCACACAGAAAATAAATAAACAATTAAAATAAATACATAAAACTCAAACAGGATGACAACAACAACAAAAAAGATGGTGACAATCAAAGTGGATCTGACAGAAACCTTGCAGCTCTGCCAGTATACGTCACTTTAACATTCATCTCAGCCTTCACCAGGTTGGTACGAGTGCAGACAAAAAAAGCATCCTCATGGTAGAGTTCATAGTTCATAGGCAGCTCTCTAGAGCACAGTACCTCTTGGTTGTGGGGTCTGAAAACACCCACTGATTTACTTCCCTCACAGGGATCATTAAAGAAAATATCTTGCCTAACCTATTTCAATTGCTGTGACTTGTTCAAAATGTATTTAGTTTAAACTCATGTAGGATAGAAAACCTTCTGAGGAATCTGCAAACGTTAATCCCAGAGGAATACAGCCACGCACCTCTTTCCTGAAACTGGCTGGCAGCTGATGGAGGGTCCAAAGAGAAGGTAGCTGGAGCCTGGAAGAGAGATAATTGAAAATCAAAGGAGGACTTTGTTAATTTGATTAGGCAGCACTGGATTGTTCCCGATCAAATTAGATTTTATGACATACAATTAAATGGGACTTACCGTGGAAGAGGGGGAGGGAAGGGTGGAGGTGACGTGACATGAGGTGGAGTTGAGGGAAGCCGAGGGCTGAAAAAGGAGGATGATCAGACGGTCGAGACAAAGAAGATGATCATAGAAAATCAAAAACTGCTTCAAACGGTGGAGACCTTTTGAGGAGCTGTTTGCATTTTGATGGCTGGAACCAGGGTCTTAATTTATACCCATGTAAACCGTTCAACCCCTTGAAAAATCCCTGCTTAGGGGGTAATTAAAACCCAGGACCTTTGGGAGCAGAGTCTTTAGATGATTAATGTCAGAAATAGGATCCTTCATTTACAGACAGAATAATGGCAGCAGTGAGGGATTTATTTTTACCAAATAACTGTCCTGGACTAGCTCTCTATGTGTCATTGACCTAATTTGCATTACTGGGGCATCACTGATAACAACGGGCCAACAAATAGGAACCATTTAGTTCCTTAGGATTTTAGACATGCTGGTCATTTGGTCTGCTTCAGTGCACTGTCCATAAATCCAGAGCTTGTGGAAAGAGGTTGTATTTTTTTTTTAATCTATAAATATGCTTCAGGAGTCAAACAGTGTTTTTTTTTATTTTTTTACCAGACACCCTCTGATCATGTTCTTCAGCCTCTGAAGACCAAGTTAACCTCAATATGTTCTTAAGGCATCTTACTTTGATCATATGTGTCTCATACGCAAACCCGTGAATGCAAATATGTATGCTGATAAGAACCATACAAAAACTGCGAAAGCTGCAGTCCATTATCATGGGTTGCAAAGACCCTGAGTTGTTCTCTGTTGTCACTAGTAGGGATGAGAACTGATAAGACTTTATTGATACTCATGCCATTATCAATTCTGCTTATTGATTCAGTTCATCCAGTTCACTCTTATCAATTCCTGCAGATTATCTGTGTGGAGGAGAGACGGTCTAAACAGGTTTTCCTGTGTTGATGAAACCAAATTCATTCAAAGTTTAATAACCAACGCTCTGAAGAGATGGGAATCCTGGCTTTTGATTGGACCTTTACAGATCAGCTGATTACAGGTACAGCCTCCAGATGGGCAACAGACCAAAACAAACATGGACGTTTTTAATAAGCAAAGGTAGATCACAGCATAATTACAATGTTTACTAAGATTAAAGTTGACCAACTGTACGTAACAGTCCGCAGCCCAAAACGCTTCACAACAAAAGGAAGCTCAGTACTCTCATTACCGTATCATCTTTGATGGATTGGGTTCAAGCACTCTGACTGGTCTCACAGAGTGAGTGGATTTTACTTTAAGTTGGTAAAAAAAAGATGGTAAAAAAACATTGGACACTGGTTTGGACTGTTCCTGTTATTTGTCTGTCAGGATTTGTGTCCTTGTTTCTGTTGATGCATCAGATCATTGTTGTTGAAAACATTGATAAGGGAATTGTTAAGTGATGTGAAAAGTTTAAATGCGGTGGAACTGTTTTTCATCTGGAACTGGTCCATCCCTAGTGGCAAATCCCGTTGTAGGACTCAAGTCCAGGATTTAGTATTAAGTCTAAACTGAATCTCAGACTCACCACTTGACTTTAACTAGGATTCAAGCTTATTGGTGGCATGTCTTTTGGGTAAGCTACTGCATCTGTGAGATCTTTGTGTCTCTTCGATGTTTTGTCATAAAGCTTTGCGCTTGAGACATGGCAGAAAGCCTGTTTGAAAGCCCATGTTGTTTAGGTGTTCTCAAGTAAATATCGTTCAGTTATATTGTGCTTTTCGGTGAGTTTTCATTTGTCCTACGCCCATGAACGCACTATAGGCGTTCCAACGCAATTGAATGCACCGCACCTGTTTGTGAGATGAGCAGCTGCATAAGTTTAGTTTTCCTCCTCATGCAGCAGAAGCTAGTTTGTGAATTTCCTCTTACCTGCTTTTACCCAATATTCACCTTCACATCCCAGGTTTATTGTGTGTAAACGCCAGAAGTGAGTTTTCTGACTTTTCACTGTCCAAGCTGAATGCTATATTGTGTTAATGTATTGTTTACGTGAATATGGCTAATGCTATCTCGTGCTACTCGATGTTCAGGTTATGTATGGTTGGAGCTCTTACCGCTCTAAACCCAGCTAAATCTTGGAGAATGCCCTTTACTCCTTTTTAATGCCGACTATCGAAAAAGCATATCGACCATGTTTTGTATTGATATTGAGTGAAACTAATTTTCGATATATATCGTTATCGTTTTATCGCCCAGCACTAGATTCAAGCATGAGCAGCTTCCACTCTGAAGATGGAGAGGAGGTTCCATAGTTCCGGAAGGAAGTCTGGAGAGCTGATAATTTACCTTGTATAGAGACAGTTCCTGCCTGTACACCTAAATAGACATTTTTTCAAAACTTTTAGGAAAACTGGAATAAAGTTTTGTGACTGCATCAACAGAGTAATAAATGAAGAATGTAAAAACAAGGAGCGAGGAAGAGAGTGTGGTATAAAAAGAGGAAGCGTGCCAGTGTTGTGACAGTTTCTTAAATGGCCGCTTGGAGAGTTAAATCGTTCATGCCAAAGAGATCCCTGATGTCCTGCATTTCCTGCAGCAACTCTGCCTCCTGTAGGATACACTCTGCTGAGAGAGCATCCATTAATTAATATAGCTCGGTATTAAAGTTTTCTAACAATAAAAAAAGGACACAAAGGGGGATTTAAGGAGCCAGCGTTTGCAGTGCGGACAAATTAATGAAAGCGTCGGCCTCTCAAGGATAGAAATTCAATTTATAATGTGTCTCTATGAAGCTGCTGTTACGCTGTAACTTTTCCCCCCACAGCTCCGCTTTGTTTGTCATGTTGGTCTGACCACGGAGGATAACAGAGGGGAGATTTATAGGATTGTTACATTTCAAAAAAATGCCTGAGTAGGAGAAAACTTCACAAACACAGGAGGAGACTGTTTAAAATTTTAGACACTCCTGAGACAAGTTTGTGGCTAATTATTTTAATTTAAAGGTTTACTCTGTGATATGAAAACTGTCTCACGATGGTACCAAAAGTTTCCTCTGTATATTCTTTCCAAGACTTTATTACTTTGGCTTTACTGTCTTTATATCCAAGCCAAGTAGCTGCTTCTCAGGAATGCAACACAACAAACTGTCTAATGTTGCAGAAAAAGACTATTCTTTATTGTAGAAGCACATCTTAAATATTCAGGTGTGCACTGAAAACCAGCTGGGTGGTCCCTCTCCTCACACCACCACACCATAGATCTGTTTCTCACTCCACTTTTGTCCATCCTATTTTTCCTGAACCCTGATAAGTTTCTGTTTTATAACAATAATAATAAAAATGATGCATCAGATTTTTATAGCGCTTTATCAGAGACCCTCAAAGCGCTTTACATTGGATACATCGTTTATTTGCTCACACAGTCACACCCTAGTGATGGTAAACTACCTTAGTAGTTTGCGCCTACTGCCTCTCCAGCCACCACCACACAACACTCACAATCATATACCAGTAGAGGACACACACTGGGAGCAAGGTGGGTTAAGTGTCTTGCCCGAGGACACAACGAACAGACTAGGGATAGGGTGGAATCGAACCGCCAAGTTTCCAGTCATTGGATGACCGCTGTACCCCCTCAGCTACTACCACCCTCAAGTGACAAAAGTGACAAACACTTTAAAGGCAACTAACTTTGTAATAGGTTTTAAACCCACCCACTGATCCCCACTATGCTGGTTTTTAATTTACTAATGGCTTAAAGATCAGGGCCATCCAGGACCAGTTCTTGGTCTTGTGAATAACATCAAAAATCAGCTCTCTGGAGTGCCTTTTTTATACCCGGTTGCAAACATCTACTAAGTTGGGAAATGTTCCTCCAGGTGTTCTTATTATCATTACAACACTTTTATGTTTTTGATGTGACCTGTTGCAACTTATTTGAAATCTGTTGCTAGCATCAAATTTAATCCTTTCAATCCTTGCTATGTGGTCTTTGCAGTATTTTCAATGAGGTACAGTCTTCAGATGATTTGCAAACCATCAAATACACAGCCACTCAACTCTTTGGAATTAGGCTTCCAAGTACTGCAGCACAATTATCATCAACTTTGGGAGGATGGTTTTCACTCCAGCTGCATGTGGTTAACAGCTCTGGTGTTTGTGCATTAGATATTTTTAATGCTTAAAAGCATATTTGCGCAGATCTTACCCCATATCGAAGTACAAAGGGCTTCTCTTTTGGCAAAACAGTCCGTGGTGTGAGTAAGTGAGCATGCTTCGTGAGTTTCATGTCTTCTTGCATATTTGCACATAGAGGTTGCAAAAGCTGCACAATTGTTCAGTGAATGAGGCCTACAACAGAGCACGGCAGGTAAATTAATGTCTGAATTCCTGTGATGGAGACCAAAGTAGGGCAACAGCAAATATCCCCTTAAGACTACCTAGCGTTTGGCAACTAATAGTCCTTTTCTGAGTAAAATACAGCTTTCCTTTTCCCCCCAGGGTAGTTTAACGGCGTTCAACTTCTTTCAGCGTGAAATTATTTATAAGTATATGTTTATGTTTACACATGAAAAATTCCATGTTGTCATTTTTACTAGTATAATTTTTTCTCCAGTGGAAATCATGTCTGATAATATGGAAGGCCATCATCTGCTTCCTTTTTGCCATATTTCACACCTCCCCGCTGCATGCTGGGTCATTAAAGTAACTTTGTGACATGGCAGCATGGTGGAGATGGAATCCAGTGGAGATTGTAGCAGGAGAGGGGTTGTGTGTTTTCATTAAAGAGCAGGAAGCAGCCCGACACAAGCCATTACTTTGCTTTTTGTGTTATCCAATGGCTGTGTACTGTCTGTGTGTTACTGCAGAGCTGAGTGCACCTCCTGCCCTTCGTCTCATTTCCTTCCTGTGTCTGTCCTCTGCTTATTTCCTTACATCCCCCCTCATCTCTCTCCTTCTTTCCTCTTTACCTTTTTCCCTGCTCTCTCCTCCCATCGTCACCTTCACCAGTCCTGCCATCCATCTCTCCCACCAGGCTAATTGTGCAGAAACTCAATGGGATAGAGGGATGGTGGAGGGGAGGGGGGTTAACGGGGGAGAGATAAAGAAACAGTAAAGCAAAGTACAGTATTTGAAGCTGGTCAAATGTGGCGGAAGGGGGAAAGGAAGACAACAGGGTGATTGCAGCAGCCTTAAGGGGATAAAAGTGAAGGGGAAGCTGGTTTGTGTTTGACTTTGGTGTATGTGAAACACACTGGACAGGGTTCAAAGACTAGCATCTATCAAATGGCCACAAGTACAGAGAAAGAGAGAGACAGTCTGGTATGTGCAGCTTTCAAAAAGCCAAAAAAAACCCAGCAGTGATTCTCCCCCATCTAAAAGCAAATCCTCCTAAAACTGCAGTATCCGTGCTCCTTTTTCCAGAACTGTAGATATCATGAAGGAAACAAGTGCTTCCTTGGAGATAAAGAAAAACATTGTACTAAAAGTCAAACTGCTTCTCTATTTCCTCTCAATGAGGTCTGTTAAGGTTGCTCAGATAAAGCTGCTTCCTCAGACGAAACTAGATGGAAACAATGATTAGAATATAGCACCATCTTTTTTCCTGCTAATCCAATGCAGGTTGTAAGCAGCAGAGCTGTGCCCTGTGCCCAGGTCTTGGTTATGCATGTTTTCCTCTTGTCTAGCAGCTCAGGGAGCGATTTATCACAAAACCACAGGGTCCTGGCTCAGGGAATGGGGTTATATTTCATACAGGCATTCTGTAGGGCAAAACTATTGTTCTGGTGGCACAGGGCCCCTTAAGAGAGGCACAATTTTTTTTTTTTTACTCCTATTTTTGTTCTTTAAGGAGGAATGAGGATAACAAAGCCCTTGTCTGCATATATGCATATATGTGCAAATCTATTTTGTCCATAAGTACTATTTTGAGATTTGCAAAGACATGCTAGCATTGACACTATCTAGCTGTGTGTACATTTTACCCGGGGGTTAGACTGGGCTAGAGCCAGCCTCTCCCCCTGAATGACCTTCTGGAGATGGGACGAAGTCAATAGCTGGTGAGGTTTCCTGGCTGGAGGTGAAGCTTTCTTTCTAACCGGTTTTATGGATTCACTCTGTGGTTCTGTTACATGGTTCCAGTGTCTGTAAATATGACTGAATATAAAGCAAACACCCACAGGTACAAAGAGTAGAATTTAGCGGGAGATTTGATAGACATTTGTCAATTGGATGCTTAGGGTTTGTGTTGGGAACTGATTTCATGGCGTGCGTGAAGTAACACTCAGCTCAGTTTTTTTTTTTTTGTATTTAACTGATAATGTGTCAGGTGCAAGAATAAGATGAAGAATAAGAAAAGAAAAAAAGACAAAGAAGAAAAGAAAAGAAAAAGGAAGAGAGTGGTCATATTAAAGGCTAACAAGTCAGACAGTTGCTCTGTATAAAGTCGACATAATGGCGATCTTGTCTTTTCAGTTGTCATCTATGTTGTAGATCCTGAACTGTTTCCAAACAATGCTTCTCAGATGTCTGCTGTGGGAAGTTTTGATTGCACTTATTCTTTTTAGTTAAGTAAGGAAACATCACTATTTTAATTTACTGAGGTCAAGGGTATCATGCAATGGTCGGGTTACAATGAACAAATGACAAACCACCTCAATAGCAGAAGGCCTGAGCCGCTGACAGACTATATATTTGACATGGCTTGTTACAGTTCAACTATTAAACTTCTTCGCTCCAAGTTTGAATGATAACTCCAAAAATATGCCAGAAATACAAAAATGAACCCTCTAATACACACATAGAGAAATTAAACCTCATATACAACAATGCTATCACCTCCAACACTTCAAGTCTTCGCAGTTCTGGCTCTCAGCTCTAGTCATTTCTGCCTATTGACTGACACATTTATCACTTCTAACCCCCCGTGTGACCACCACCCTCTCCTCTCCTCTCCTCTCTTAGTCTCTTTCTCTCTCTGTATCCTCACATTAAGCTTCTTGATTGCCCGTAGGCTCTCTGGAGACTCTTATCTCTGCGGCTGTTGTCCATGGACCTGGTTTGTTATCCCACCAAGCATATTGTCGGATGGGCCTCTTGGGTCAATGGCACTCGTCAACCGACTAAAACAATCAGCACACACTCAATAGTGGAGCCATTAAGACGTGGACTGGCAATAACAGGCCAGCTGAAGATACTCCACTCTGTTTAGTGGAGAGCCAAGACCTGCTGGGATCGATGGTGTCTTTTGGGACTCCTGGAGGGGTCATGAGAGAGGATCGTTGTGGTGGTTCACTTATTGAACATCTTTTTACATTATCAGGGAGGAGAGGAAGCAGTTGGAGGTGGGGTAGATTGGAGGGTAGAGTAGGAAGAGTAGGGCAGCAGTAGACTCCGGCTCTCTGTGTTTGTGAGGAGCAGAAGAATTGATCCGGTATGAGCTATTGTTTAAGCAGTGCTATTTTTGGTATCGTCCACCGCACACATTTGACTCCTTGCAGCTTCTGTTGAAGTTCAATCAATTTTAACTGTGACCTTGTTTTTATGGTAGCCTTTAAATATATGGTCCAGCCATGAGTTAAGGCAACAGAGACACTCGGAGGAGGTCCTGATTTCTTGCAAAGATGCTCACCGCTGAGTGTTACTGACTTTTCTAAATAATCAGGTTCTGAGCTGTCTATCTGCCAGCTCTGTTTTTGTTTAAGCTCAACATACTAAAACTCTATCGGTGTTTTTCTTTGGCAACACAAACTAACTTCAAAACTCTGTGTTCTACCAATCATCCTTCCTACAGACCAGAAAAGTCGAACACTGGTTTGTGTTTGATAGTTTTGAAGCCTGCAGTTATTATTTCCAGGCTTTGGTCAAATAGCTTCAGAGCCTGTGATGGTGATAATATTCTTGTTTCTGGTCAGAAAATGCCTGGACCAATCAGCATCATTTCAGGAGAAAGAAACGGTAGCTGTGGGTGTGGTGTAGTTGTAGCAAGTATAATCCCAATCCTATTTATCTGGGGGTTGTTGCTTCTTTGCTTCCTTCTTTCTATTTCTCTTGCCATCCTTTAAAAATGAAAATCAACCAACATTATATTGAATGACCATCCTTACACACTAGATATTTTAACCCTGCATGAACATTTTCCTTTTTTGCAGCCTTATCATTTTTAAAAATGCACATCATGTCATTTTTATCATTTTTATAATACACAAACTGTCCTCATAAAAAATGACAAGACTCGTGTAATGTCATCCTGGTAATTTACCTTGAAGGTGCTTTGCAACCCACTTCCACCTCAGCTCCTCTTTTTTTATGTTACTTTGGCTCTACCAGTATCATATGTATTGTCACTGACGCTTGCTTTATTCTGCACCCTTGGAGTCTTTGCTGCTGCTCTCCCTGACTTGGCTTTTCATGCATGAACATGGAAGGAGGAAAGATGTGCTCTTCCTGCTGCAGACTTTGGCATTGCACATACACATGTGGAAGGGCCGGGGGCTCAGGTTGGAGCCAAAGCGCTTAAAACAACTGTTGCATACAAGTAATTGTTTTTGAAGAATATAGTCCAGCCCAAAATATGTATGTAAAAATGTTTATGTTTGATATTAGAAGTAGCTTATCCCAGCTACTAGCAGCAAAGTGACTGAGTGTTGCTTCACCATACTCGGTAAATTGTCGGGTTGTATCAGCTGACTTACGTCTACAGATCAGAAGGTCTTGGGAAGTGTTCAGACTAGACGGCCTAATTCAAGGCACAGAGATTAATGATGGTTTGAAGAAATCAAGATGAATGGAAACAATCATGAAATTAAGGCGAGCCACAAACACAGTAAGTGGAGAAAGAAGGAGGTGACACACAAAGTTTCCCCTCCAGATTTAGAGGCTCATATGGTTAAATTTACATCTGTCTTATGGCTAAACAAAAGAGGCCAAGCAGCATATTTTATAAGTTGTTGTAGGGTATTTGCTCTTCTTTATACTGCAGTGGGGGAAAAGTTTGACCAAAATCATAACAGACTCATTATGGAGCTCCCACTGAGATGCTTATGTGCTTCCTTCTGTTTACACTTACCCTTCTTCACTCCTGGGCACCTTTCAGGGAAATGAAGTTTCAAAACAAACTCTTTTTAAATGAAATCTTCTGGTGAACACAATATTAAAGCAGCTGCATAACCCCCATTTTAGCACCAGGTTACCTTGTCCACCTTGAGGCTGGATATGTCCATAAAGTAGGAAATATTAGATACGTTTGGTTCAGGGTGCAAACATAGATTGTATAAACTGCGCACAACTTGGCTCCGCCTTCTGTCATTATACACATTTGAAGCCAAATTGCTCTCCACCACTTGCACAGTAGTGTTGTACACATTCGGTGGGAGAGTTGCCGGGAGTCACTGTGATGACTTAGCTCAAACATTGCCAAGTGAGCTATGCAATCTTCGTACGCCCATAAGCTGTATAAGGTGTCAGTAATGGAAAACATGAACCCTCTAATAACTTTTAAAAATGGTGCTGTACAGAAAAAAAGAGGACTTGAGCACAAACCAGTCTAACAGTAACTACATGTCAACATCATAACCAGGAGGGAGAAAATATATTTTCTATGTAATAAATTTCTAAAGTTTGTCCACAGCTCCATAGGGATTGCTGGAGGAGGCGGGATTTATGACCTATACTGCAGCCCGTCACTAGAGGGTGCTGTACTCACGATGGCTTCGAGGAGGCAGATGGGATCCATTCAATACACAGTCTACGGGTGCAAATGGACGGCAGGAGAGTTACTATGAAAGAGAGTTAAAGGTTGACTGATCCATTTTCTAGCTTTCAGGCTGTAGTGTAGAGGTGATTGGCACTTGAGGTCAGCTGGTGGGCGTGGCTTCTGCACACTGCCAGTTTGCCACTTTTGTTGTGGACAACATTTTTTCATTCATATTTAACTGGGTGGGCAGTATATATATTTTCTTACATGTTAAACCCCCACAATACCTCTTTTTCTCAACTGTACAAAGACTTCAATGTCACAGTCTGAGTCCTAAATTTTTCCTGTCTGTTTGCTCATGACTGAAATCTGAATATCAGCAGCTTCTCTCCTGCTCCTCCACTTCCCCTCACAGTCACTGCCTTTTTTCTCTGTTTTTTTTTTCCCCATTTTTTCTTCTTCTGTAACTTTTAATGTCTTTTGGTTAAACAAACAAAGCCATGAAACACCAGGATAGCATCAGTGCGCACAGATAAAGCCAGTATGATGCTAAAAATCCCTCCATTGATCCATGTACCTTCGGATGCCCGCTGCTGGAAAGAAACAGATTCTTTCTTTACTAACACCTCCTTCCCACTTAGTTCAATTAGGTTTCTTCAAGGCAAAGGGAAAATTACAGTCTCAAAACAATTATCTTCAGCTCTCAAAACACAAATTATCTTAAAGCTGTAATAGTGTAATTTCATACTCGCCACATGCATTATTCATACTTGTTCTTTTTTCAATCAACCAGAGATCCAGCTGTAAGCAAACTCTGCTGTTTCCACCTCGAAAAAACCTCCCCTTATTTAGTTTTTCTCATCAAAACTTTTTGCTTTGTCAGTTCATTACAATTATTATATGACGGTGTGCCTGAATGTATTTCCACTGCGAGCCCGCTTAAGAACCTGCACTGGCAAATGCAAGCACACTCCCAGGGACAATACCTAAACACAGCTAATTGCACTAAAAACACACATAACGCATTTAAGCAGTATGAGAACACAATAGAGATTGCTAATGCGGTCATCTGTTTCACCGGATAGTGAAATTAGATCATAAAGCAACGAGGAAACGCTTGGTTGGAGCAGCTCTGTTTGCTTCTGTTGCATTTCTGAGGGAACAAAGTGTACTCTAAGTATCCTTTTTATGGCCCCACATGCTGATGTGACCATGTTGGTAGTAGTGTGTGTGTATGTGTGTGTGTGCAGCAGTGAATGCATGCATCTATATGCTTAATGATGAATGAGAGAGGCAGGCTTTAGCTCAGAGCTGCAGCTCAATTTAAAGACCTGCAGTTGTCTCCGGGTAGCCAGATCATTTTAAATCCACAAGCAGACTCAGGATCAGTAAAACTTTCACAGATTACATAATTCCACTTTAACATATACAGTGTTGAGCTCAAACTACTGAAATTTAGTTCAGCACTTAGCGTTTGGGGCTATATTCCAATTGTCGTCTTTTTATCGCAGAGTAACTCTCCAAATATAAGCTGGGTCCTTTATTTTCTTTAACTGAAAAAGGTACCAGGCAGTATATGAAGCAGGTCTGTATATTAAACCCCCTCTATCAAAAGTAGGGCCTATTTCACAAAAGGATTGCATTGATTTTTGCCTCGTGCAAATAAGCCAAAGAGGCATTTTCTGATTCAAGTATTGCTTCACTTTGTATTAGTATTGTTTGCAAACATCTAAATGATCCATTATGCAAAATTTACCTTTTTTTTTTTTGCAAACAAGCAACACTGCAGAGAACATTTTGTTCATTAACACCTGTGCCATAACCTGGAGCAGTTGAAAGTGACAGTTCTGCCAAATACTCAAAGCGTCATTACACTCAAACTCTACAGTGATCAGGACAAAAACTGAATGATCTAGAAATACTATATCTATACAGTAGGTCTATAAATATTGCTGTGGTATTAGTATTTTATGATAAGAAGGTAAAGCTGTACAGGCTGTCTGTGGCGCAACCTCCCACATAAGGCTACAGGCTGCGTCATTGTGCACAATAAAGTATTTATTTATTCTAAAAAGAGCTTGTTAAAGCAGGTAAAACTGGTCACATATGTAATGTATTAACTACACAATTAACATAAAAAGACTCTTCCTCTCTATCTAGCTCATCATAATAAGTGGGCAGCATTTAGCAATGTCAGGATGAGAGTGCAGCTCTGAGCAGCAGAGCGTCTCAGTCACAATCAAACAAAAACTGAAGCAAACACAGAGATGGAGTCGCTATGTCAGAGTTCACTATTTCCCTCATGTAAAACTCGTGTGTGCAGTGTGCATGATCTTTGTGAATTGGGCCTGTATGTACTTTTTCATGGATAGAGTAGACGGAGTAGGAAACTTAGAAAGGTAAAGCAGGGGTTGACTTGCAGTAAAGGGCTGTTGGTTAAATTGAACAGCCGTCTTTGTGACTATGGCCTTGAGGACATGTGAATCAATCATAAAGCCAAACCTGCACCCAATTTGCCCTCATTAGTATATGCGGCGGTGTCTTGTTTTTGTGGTTAACATGGCTAAAGTTTTAGATAACTTGTTAGAGAAACTTGTTGGTAATCCCTCAGGCTTTAGAGCAGGCTCTGAACAGGGATCCAGTTGTTCTTTTCTTTTCTAATTGGAATTCTTCCAGCTCTGTCTGGGTTTTTCAGCATCGAGAAAATTTCTCAATGGAGACAAAACTTTGAGACGAACCCAACTACAACATGTTTCAAGTTTTCAAAGTACTGCCCATCCTAACTCTACCAAACAGGCTGTTATTACACTTGGAGCCACCCTGTGGACTGACAGAGCAGCTCCTCCATTACAGCAAGGGAATTCAGCGCCTTTCTTTAGGCGTGGTGGAGTTGTGTACTGATGGAATAATGATAGAAGTGTTGCTCATTACCAGTACCATGTTTTCTCAGTCAGTGCAGGGATTTAAACCACAGACCCTCCAGCTACTGCTGTCACTGACTGACTTTGTAATCATTTTTCCAATTCTCTTTGTAGGTGACATCATGTTCAAACAGGCCGCGCAGTGGAAAATATAACCAAGCAAATCAGTGCAGAGTCCATAAAGAAAGACTGGACTTTTATTTCGACTCCAAACAGTATCAAACAAAAATCGACCAATTTGTACCTGCTTACAGGGTATCAAGAACTGGTTACTTTTGGTACTGGTGTTTGATTAATACCAACAAGTTTGTGGACAAAGCTCAAACTGTCATTTAACATTACCATTAGGGATGCACATATTATCCACATTGTATTGTTGTCAGCATATGATACGGTATAGTACGGTACGATGTGATAGGTATTCACTTAACTCAGTTGAATGTATGATTATTACGTAAAAAGTTCATTGCTGGTGTGTTTTTTCCTCAGGGTCCTTTTTCTTGCAGTACTCTGTCTCTAATCTCCCACCCACTACAGTCTCACATTGGCTTGGCATCAACAGTGTGATGTAACTATATTGTAAATGTTACTTTTTATGATGAATGATGTTGATCATTTACCATTTAAAAATCTTTCTTAATGTTGTTTTCTCCAATTTTTTTATATTAAGATAGAGAGCATCTATTCCCCAGAGCAGCCTTTCCCAAACTTAAGGCCGGGACTCAACTTTGGTTGAGTATCACACAGGAGAGACACCAAATCATTGTGAGTTTACAATGAAGTGCCAAGTTCCTTTCTTTACATTTGTTGGCATGTGTGTCCTGTAGCCAGTATCGGTAAATCAGTACCTTATAATTTTTTACAGGTTATAAAAGACAGATAGTTAAAAGAAGACCTGTGTCATCATCCAGATTTGCTCCAGTTCTTGTTCCCCTTTGCACCAGGCCAACATGATGATGTCCTATTTTCATTCAGATTTCCCTTTTTCATCAATTAACTTTAAAGATATGTGTTTGTTTTAGTTGAGGCAGGGTTCAAGTTACGAGGGGGCCATTGGGGGCTCAGCCCCCTTAAGGAAGAGTCTGGGCTCCCTTGTGGTAGGAGGATGACTTTTCTTATTGACTAATTTTGTATATGTGACATTTTTGCTCTGTGGTTAAGCTTTGAAATAGCAAAAATAAACTTTGTTGCCAAGAGATGTGATTGTCCGTCACATAAGCGTTAGCATAATGGATGGTGCTTTATTTTGTGTGTCTGAAGTGCATGTGCAAGAGTGTGTTGGACACATACACTGGCGTCATCCATTCACTTCAGATCAGTGGTGTGAGGTGTAATGCTAGCAGTTTTTTTTTTGTTTGTTTTATTTTTTTTTGTAAAAGCTAACTCAACCTAGCTTTCCATCAAACTAAAAATAAATGTTTTGGCTCTAAGAATTGGCTTTTTTGAGGGAGTGATATGATTCACAACCATCCTCAAGTGGCTACTCTGGGGAACTGCAGTTTTTAACACTTCCACATTGGCTTCATTTCTCAAGACCTGAAGTTTCCACTTGCACCTTTATCAGAAAAGACGCCTATGCAAAAGTTCTAAAAACTGCAGTTTCTTAAGTTCCTGCTTGAGTCTAAAATAATAGTTGTCATATATCGTAAACGAAGAATATGTAAATATCTAGAATAACAATTTGGCCAATTTGGCAACCGCGATCAAAAGGCAACAAAACTGCACCTCAGAAACAAATGGGTTATGCAGACTACTTTAATGTATCATACAGTTTATGGCTGGACTGCATAATGAGCAGTTTACTTTCTGCTTGAGTTTCAAACTGCAAATTTTTTTCGATGGCGTATTTATCTTCACCCCAACAACAAGTTAGTTTTATGCTGAGGTCAGACTACTTGAAACTCACGATGCCTAAATGCAACGCCAAAGGATCTTTAAACAGAAAGTCTGGCATGTTCGAGTTGCCTTCTACGATATGTTTCCTCATGCCAGTGATATAAACAAATGGGAACGTAGAGCGCCTTGTACATGCTTCAGGTTACGGGCATGAACCAACCAAATGGTTAGTGGGAACAGGAATGATGAGACTAAACTTTGAGACAGAGAAAGTTTCCGACTCTGCTAGTGCAGAAGCGGTGGTATTGTGTTTTGAAGGGTACTGAACTACTTGAAGTGAATCAGCCTCTGCAAAGATGGCACTTGTGTTTCATCCTTTTTCATCTGTGTGCGGGCTGAGAAACGGCAGTAAAGTTTGTAAAAACACAAGGACAACCCTCCAAACTCAATGTAGTGTTCCCTGTTACAGAAGGCCCAGTGAGCCCAGCATGAATCTGTGTTCTCTCTCTCTAATCTGTGGATGTATTGATCTTTATAGCCTCTTCCTGTGTCGTAACCATTTCTTTAAGGATACAACCTTCTCCTTCTGCAGACAGATCCTGAAATATCTCCTTTTTTTAACCACACACCAGACTTTTTACTCTGTTTTTTTTTTTGTTCTCAACCTCATATTTATTTAATCTATTACTTTCCGTTTTTTTTTTCACCGTCCTCTGTTTTTAACTGCTTCAGTTTCTTATCTCTTCTTATCCATGACTGCTCTGCCTTTCTCCTTTTCCCTCTCTCACTATGCATGAGTGCTATATCTCTCTCTCCTGGTAATGAATGGCTGCCCATTTATCTGAGTGTCAGCCGGAAGCCCTGAGGAGGTGTGTCTCTCCCAAATCAATATCTCATTAGTTTAAGAAGCCCTGCCTCTCTCTCACTCTCTCTCTCTCTCTCTCTCTCTCTCTGAGTCCCGCTCTCTCCCTTTCCCCCTTTCCAGTCTTTTTCTTCACCTTTTTATCATTTACACATCCCTTCATCCTCTTTTTCTCTTCACCCACACACTCCTCTCTTCTCCTCCTTTAATGCTTCTCCTGTTTGCTCTGTTTTTATGTAACCACGTCCTTTAAGATGTATGACTGAAGAAGAGGTCGAGACAGACAAAATGAAGACCTTAGTAAGCTTGTAGTCCTTTCATTTTCCGATCACACCCTTTGTGTATCATCACAAATTTCATTTGCAGGTAGTTTAAATAAGCATACGCAAGTATAATTTTAATTTCTATTTAAAAAAAAAACAAGTTACATAAGGAAAACGTACAAAAGTAAAATCCTCTTACATTTCCTGAATTAAATTTAGCAGAATTTGAAGCTTTAGGGATCAGTTAAAAACAGCAAGTATTGCAAAACTAAAAATTGAAATTTACTACAAACAATTTAGAAGAAAAGCCTTTTCATAAATGAGTTTCACTCTGTAACAAATCTTTGGTTCAAAATATGAATCACACCAATAAAAAGTACATTAACTTCACAGTGAGACATAAAGCAATCTTCCTTTTTGATCGAGCATGTCTGAGGTGAACCATCTCTGAATGTTGACCAGAGGCAACTTTTAGGCCTTATTTAAATTATCTGAAAGGCACGGTCCATAGCATACTGTGCTAAGTGAATTAGACCACGTTTTGGTTGTTAGGCCGCGCACATGTGAGGCACAGAACAGAGAGAGGCTGAGTAAAGTTCCTAGATTACTAATAGGCATGTTTCTGGACAGAAAGTGACACAAACCAATCAGTGCTGCTGCTCTCATTCCCTTCATCAGTCAAGTGTGTCTGTGAGTAGGTGTGTTGCTGCTTTACACAGCCAATTTTAGCCAGCAAATACTCAGGCTGGAGTATTTGGCCCCTGCAGGATTGGAGTGAAACTGGTTTGTGTGTGGATATCGAGAAGGGTCTTTTTATTTTAGCATCCTTAGATTGTCAGATTGAATGTGGGTCGTAAACAAAAACCTCAATAGAAGAAGAATATGTGCACAGAGTCGCAGAGCTGTAGATTTGTTTGTGTTTACCATTTGGCAGAAAAGGTGTGGACTCCTGCCAACTTGTTTTAGTATGAGACGTAATAGGTCAACCAGGAGATGGTCTAATAGTAACAAGCTGGAAGGGGCACATTGCATGTTTGTAACACATCCAAAGTGCTACTCACACCCTGAAAGCCAGTCAGCATGAAGATCCCCAAGTGGCAAGTGGTCAGGTCAAGGTTCATTCCTCAGGCAACTGGAGGACAAACTTAACATGACACTGAGCTGCTACTCTGAGCTGTGCAATACAACTTGTTCTTTCAACTGAAGCAGAAATAAAAAGGAGTTTACTTGGAGGAAGGTGAGCAAGGAGGTCAGATAACCTGGGGTTAAGTTATGAAAACACAAGAAATGCTTGTAACGTGAACCTCAAATGTGATACTTAACTTAACTGACGTAATTCAACCCCTCCTGTCTCGTGTGAAGTTGCATCTACAGGCACTCAGGTAGATGTAATATGATTCACAAAGGGCGTTATTCACACAGATTATATGACTAAAAACTCAATTATTAGACATTCAAATAAACACCCAGATTAAAGCAAATAATTGTATTCACATCCACTATGAGCATAGTATGAGAATCCAGTGTTGGCTGGGCAACAGTTAGCTCTGGTGAAATAAGAAATATCTATGTAAAGAGAAAGTAAATAGCTGAAATGTTCCTTTAATGCAGTGGTTCTCGAGTCCAGTCCTCGAGCCCCCCCGTCCTGCATGTTTTGGATGTTTCCCTGCTCCAACACACCTGATTCAAATGATCAGCTCGTTATTAAGCCATTCCAGAGCTTGATAACGAGCTGATCATTTGAATCAGGTGTGTTGGAGCAGGGAAACATGCAGGACAGTGTGCTCGAGGACTGGACTTGAGAACCACTGCTTGAATGGTCTTAGAAAATCAGTTTAAGGAAGGTTTGTGTTATTTGTGAGGAAGGAACCAGATTTAGAACATATGTATTAAAGCCAGTTTAACATGTAAAGAGAGTTTAAGGTGACTTTGAGTTTGAGTGTAAATAAAAACTCGACTACCAACCTGGAAAAAAATCACTCTTGTCTTCAGCACAGAAACATTTAGCAGCAGTGACACAGCCTGTATGAGAGGAGTAGGTGAGGCAGCTGAAGTACAATTCATGTGCCATCTAAAAGCCCATTTCTTTTGGCTTCAGTGCCCAACATGGACATTCAAGTGGCACTTCCTGCTGAGACATCGGTTTATCCAATAAAGCAGACAGCACACAGATAAATATTATCCCATAAGAGAGCGCAGTGGTGTGCCTTTACTTTCTATTTTCCTTTGTGCTGTTCTCATCATATCCCTCCATCCTTGCTGAGTTTTCTTCTGCTTCCATTTCCCTCCACCTCTTCTGTTTCTTTTCCTCCCCACTCTCTTCCTCCATCCCTCTGCAGCGTTGCAGCCACCAGCCATAACTCTTTATGAATGATTACAGCTACTCATGGCAGGCTCGCCGAGCGCCGACATAAAGCACTCAAAAGGGCTTTGTTGGAAGCCACAATAAAGAATGTATTGATAGTCCTCCTGCTTTAGAGGTTTATCCAGTCCACTCCAGACTGTGAGGGGGTGAGAGTCACTTATTTTCAGAAAATCTTTCCGGTTTCCAAACAAACACTGAATGCATCATATGGAGAAAATTACTGGAGGAAAAAAAAAAAAAAGAGCGATAGATCCTCTCTGGCATCAAGCACACTCACAGACAAATAAACACAGAAATGAGGATATTTTTAAACTCAAGTTAATGAACAATATTTAATTTTTGTCCAGTAAATTTGGGAATCTCTTAATAATGATACTCAAATGTAATTTTACAGGGATTCGCTGAAGTCAATCCTGCTATTTCAAATGACGTGCAGGACAGGCCATGCACACCGTTCATAAGTGAGGATGTAGTAAACATGATCTGGCTCCCTGTTGTCATTAAAAAGTTTAGAAAAGAATAACTTTAATTTCATGCAATTAAGGATGCAGAAATGAGAAATGAGGGTTCAATGCATTTCTTTGCACCCTTGTAAAGCCACACCAGATATGGACTGTTGAAGTTTTGTACAAATCTAGACACTCCCAATGGATCAGGACCAATCCACCCTGAGTTTATTGTGTAAAAGTATATATCTAACTTAACCCAAGAATAAAAAAATAAATTTGAAGTTTGAGCTAAATGTATTCACTCATTTCTTTATTGGCAATGTTTAACTTTATAATTATT